TGTAAATTAACTCTTGACCAGTTTTGTTATTAAACCATTATTTATACTTTTTAATGGTTTCTTAAAGCATTTGGGAGATATATATCAGACTTGTTTGGTTAAGGATGAATTATGTCTGAATATCTGTCTAGAAAATAGCTGTTTTAAGTATTTTCCGTATCTGAAAGTGATATGAGGACCATCTCCCACTAGTGCATTCCCGTAAGTGGTTTTATTTTTCATCTTTTAAAATAGTGCAGGTGTTTCAACATAGTCAGCATTCGTACATTTCAAAAGTCAACTTTACATTAGTGGGGGTGAACAGAATCTTATTTTGACAAAATTCCCCCTCTTTAGATGGGAATGAGGCAAAGAGGAAAGGAGTAACTATTTCTTCCTGTCTCTATAACTGAAGCAATATTCAATATAAGTGAATTTTAATTGTAGCAAATATTCCCTTTATAAGCCCTCCATTTATCTTGTAGGTGGCCTTGTAAAATATACTTTATTTGATTTTACACACTGTGCTCATGCTTTGGCTTTATGCCCAACCTCCCAGGCTGCAGACATCTACAGTAGACCTCAGTGTTAAAGAAAATAAGCCCCCCAAAACCCTAGAAAATATTATAGTTATTAATAACAAATTCTCTGTAATATTCACGTTGGAGCAGTAATAAATTATATTAATAGTAGCAGTCCTTAAAAATTGTCCCACTGGTCACTAAGACATTCAATCTTACCCATGTTCCAAATGAAATGCATTATTATTTTCTACTTTCTACTCTTACAAGAAAGAGGTGTTAAGGGTATTCTGTTTATTTGTTTGACTTACTCTCTTTAATGCAGAAGTTAAAAAATAAAGGCAAAGCACATATATGTATAGTATCAACTAGCACCAAATCCTTCCTATGTGAGAGAAAATGATCTGCTTTGGAAGCCAGTTACATACATTTAAGAAATATGTCAAGCAATCTAAAATGAATATATTAAATGGAAAATGACTAGTCCTGACAAATTCCTGACAAATTCTTCTAACATGCAAAATAGCGGTAATTTAGAAGTTTATGGAGGAAGGGTAGATCTTGAAGAAAAATATGTGTTTTAGTTAAGGAAGAAAATAAAGAATGGGAAGAAAGAAGAGGAAGAAAGACAGGGAGGGAGGCAATCCAGGCATGAAGCAGACGCTCCAAGATTGAAGTAGAAATAAAGAGGCATATTGAGGAAACCATGTTGAAACAGATGGTTTATATAAGGCAGTGCTTTTCAAATTATGTTCTGATGCCGCCCCCAGATGGGCTGGCCAGCAAGGGGTGAGGAGGCCTGCTAGTGAAGTCTTTAAGTGAGGCAGTGCTGCAGGTATATTAGAAAGACTGATCTGACAGTGGACATAGAGGAATGTGTTGGGAAACTATTCAGTAAGTCCGATGAGATGGCATGAGCCCAAATGTATTATTGGCCACGAGTTTGAAAATAAAACAAGAGAATGGATGCATGTACTCTCACCGAGGGAGAACCACCAGGAGTAGGTTACAGACAGGAAGAATGTTGTACTGGGGGAAGGAGGTATCAAAGCCCCATTCAGTGATAGAAGTGAAGAATCCCACATTGAATGTAAATCTGATGGTACTAGATTGTATGGGAATACAGAAGATAATATTTTGATTGTATCCAAGTTCTAAAGGGAAATATAAAGTGAATTAAAATAATTAGCTTTAATATATAAAACATAACTTTGGGTTTATATCTAGTGTAAGCAGTGTGGATGAACACACAGCAGACTGGGAATTTTGTTCTTGTTTACACCCTAGTTAGTTGTTTTCTTAGATGTCTCTAAACTGAAAAGCTCCTGTGCAATGGAGGGGTGGTGGGGATGCTAAGTTAAATTGAAAAGCCCCAAGCTTTGTGGCACAGCTAAAAATCCTGTATCCAGAGTCTGGGGATTGGCACTTTAGTGAAGTCGCTTTCACAGGTAATATTGTTAAATAAGGCAGAGATTTTTTTTTTTTTTTTTAGAGATGGAGTCTTACTCTGTCGCCCAGGCACGATCTCAGCTCACTGCAGCCTCCGCCTCCCAGGTTCCAGCGATTCTCCTGCCTCAGCCTCCCGGGTAGCTGGGATTACAGGCACACATCACCATGCCCACTAATTTTTGTATTTTAGTGGAGACAGGGTTTCCCCATGTTGGCCAAGCTGGTCTCGAACTCCTGACTTCAGGTAATCCGTCCCCCTCGGCCTCCCAAGGTGCTAGGATTACAGGCATGAGCCACTGCTCTCGGCCTTAAGGCAGAGATTGTTAATGATGTGGCTTCTAGTTGGTAAGTATAAAATCCCAAGCAAGAGAAGACTTGGTATTCTTCCTGTGACTTGTTGACATAAGCCCCAAACCGATGGATAAGGAAGCTACCAGGCATGTACTACCCTCTGCACCAATCAGTCAGTTGGTAAACTAACTATAAATGAACTAAAAATATGGAGAGATGTAAATATTTGCTCCAGTGTAAGAAAGACTTATGTAAATGCAAACACTTTAAAGGTTCACAAATATATATATGTTATGGGCTGAATTCTGTCTCCCCAAAATTCATATATTGAAGTCCTAACCCCTGTGCATCAGAATGTGATGACATTTGGAGTTAAGTTCTTTAAAGGTGTGATTAAGATCAGGTATGGTCTTTAGGAAAGGCCTTAATCCAGTATGATTGGCTTCCTTCTAAGAAGAGATTAGTCCACACACACAAACTGAGGGGCCATTATGTGAGGACACAGCTAGAAGGCTACAAGCCAAGGAAAGAGGCCTCAGAAGAAACCAAATCTGCCAACATTTTGGTCTTGGGCTTGTAGCCTCCAGGACTGTGAGAAAGCAAATTTTTGTTGTTGAAGCCACCCAGTCTGTGGTATTTTGTCAGGGTAGCCCTAGCACACTAATACAATATGCATGCATTTCTGCAAAATTCGTAAATTAAATCAAAAGATAATAACCTACAAAAATATTGATTAACATATAAAATAGACAAGGACCTAGAATCAACAACATTCCAGTAGCAATGAGCACACTTAACTCCCAGATCTTGGTTTCAAATACTGTTCTCCAATAAAAGGAACTGGGGCTCCTTGTAGAAATGGCTGATTCCAGGAACGGGGCAGGAATTCCCCTTTATCAGAGGGGAATATGTTCCAAGATTCCTGGTAGATGCCTGAAACCACGGATAGCACCAAAGCCTATGTATACCATATTTTTTTTTATCTGATAACCAAAACAGCTACTAAGAATAAGCGACTACAGGGAAGGTAATGTATACAGCATGGATACACTGAACAAAGGGATGATTTGCATTCTCGGCAGAATAGAGCAAGATCACGCATGAATTCATTATGGTACTCTGAATAGCATGCAATTGAAAACCTATGAGTTATTTCCAAAATTTTCCAGTTGATATTTTCAAACTGAAGTTGACGGCAGGTAACTGAGACTGCAGAGAGCAAAATTACAGATAACAGGGGACTACTGTATACAAGATGAGCCTGGAGCATCACTTAGTACCAAAAAGTAACAAGGTCCTCAAAAACCCTCACAACAATGGAGATATGTCAAAGGGACACAGGAGCTAACTGAAATATCTCCCAATGGCCAAAACTTTGAGCAACAAAATAGAGTAACACTAGATTATAACCCAGTGTATAAAATAAATATCCATTAATCCATACTGATACTGGGGAAGAATACACAAGTCTCCCATGCAGAATTCCAACTAAATTATCTGGAATTTATGTAGACACTCCACTCTCAAGGTGTACAGAATAACTCCCCACTCAAGCATGAGTGGGTGACTTTTTCCAAATAATGGAACTTCTTTATGGTGACTTCTTTCCAAATAATACAGTACTAAAAAGTGAACAAAAAAGAGTAACAGCAAAATCTGACAAAGCCCTACTTCAGTGTGGTGGTCAAGATTAACAGCACTGATAAGTCAGGTTGATAGACTGTGTCCTTGATATAATGTGATAAGAATTGCATTTGACCTCTGTGGTTTTCCTCCTGAAAACCCATATCTCACTCTAATCATGATTAGAATGAATAGAGAAGCATCCTACAACATACTTGACCAGCACGCCTGAAAACTGTCAAGGTGAAAAAAAACAAAGTCTGAGAAATTTACAGCCAAAAAAGCTAAGAGAGCAGCTGAGTGTAATGTGCTATCCTAGAACAGAGAAAGGAGACTAGGTAAAAACTAAGGAAACCTAAATAAAGTTTAATTCATAAACAAAAATCAGCACTGGTACATTAATTGCAATGAGTGTACCATGCCAATATAAGATGTTAATAATAGGGGAAACTGGATATGGAGTATATGGGAACTATCTGTACTATCTTTCCAACTTTTCTGTAAAATATTCTCCAAAAATGGCCATTTAAAACAACAGAAAACAAATAGACAAAAAGTTATCGTATACTCATCAAAAGGCCAGTAAGCACTTGAAAAATTTCAAATTTACTGGTATTCAGAAACACACATTAGGCCGGGTGCTGTGGCTTGTGCCTATAATCCCAGCACTTTGGGAGGCTGAGGCAGGCAGATTGCTTGAGCTCAGGAGTTTGAGACAGCCTGGGCAACATGGCGAAACCCTGTCTCTACTGAAAACACAAAAATTAGCCAGACATGGTAGCACACGCCTGTAATCCCAGCTACTCGGGAGGCTGAGGCATGAGAATCGCTTGAACCTGGCAGACGGAGGCTGCAGTGAGCTGATACCACACCACCGCACTCCAGTCTGGGCGACAGCGAGACCCTGTCTCAGAAAAAAAAAAAAAAGAGAAATGCACATTAAAATAGCTATAAAGTTATTGTTTTTCTCCTGTTTAGCTCGCAAAAGTTTTTTCTGTTGTTGTTTTTTTGTTTTGTTTTGTTTTTTTCCCTAACGATGGTGCTGATGATCGGCAATGTATAGGAATGTAAAATGGATCAGCCTTTCTGCAGGGCATTGTTGTGTTTGAACAGTATTCTCATTTTTTTTACTTTTAGGCTGGTGTTTGGAATGCTTTATCCTGCATATTATTCATACAAAGCTGTGAAAACAAAAAACGTGAAGGAATATGTAAGTATAGTTTTATGAGTGATTAATCTGAGTTTAATATTTTAATGATACACACTGAAAAACTGCTATTCTCTTAGAAACGGCTGGAGTAACGTTTTGGGTTAAAAGGTGTTATGAATGTGAAGTAACAAAACTAATCTTTTTAAAAATCTTTGAAGATAACCCCAAAGTAGAGTTTCAATAAAAATAAGTATATGGTTCCCAAGATGAGTAACTGAATAGGTCTTGATTTAGTCTATAAATTCCCGTGTAATAAGGGGTTGGAGAACTTTTGTTTGTTTGACTTGGGGAGGGGAGTTGTGGGACTTTTTGCCTTATAAATTTATAGGTACATCGAGAATATCTCTCTGGCCCCAAAGCCTTTTTCTTCTTCTTTAGGTATTTCATCACTTTCTAATCTATATAAAGATGCAGATACTCCATCACCATTGACAACTGCCATCTTTTTTCCTTCTGGAGTCAGACTTCATTTGTAATGGTTTCGTTCTGATTTGTGATGAGTCCTCAGTATTTCTTTGCTTTTAGTTTCCTCTTCCCTATTCCCTAATTTTCTTTTTCTGTCACTAACATTTATTTTTTATCATTTCTGAAGTTCTCCTCATTTCCCATTTTATTCATACTATGTAATAGTAAGTGGCCTTCCCCACCTATAAATCCTGATATAGTTTGGTATGTGTGATGGAGTGAATTTTTGGAGAATAGCAAAAGCATATTGTATTGGTGGTGGTAATCAACAGGATAAGCAGTCAATACTGAGATAACAGCACATCAATAACTATGACTCTTTCTTTAAAATTGAGGTGACATTCACATAACATAAAATTAACCATTTCAGAGGCATTTGATGCATTCACAATATTATACATATATATAATACAATATAATACAACTCTAGTTCCAAAATATTTTCATCACTCCAAATAAAACCCTGTGCCCAAGTCACTGACAACCACCAATCTGCTGTCTGTATGTGTTTACATATCCTGGATATTTCATACAAATAGAATCATATAATATGTGACCTTTTGTGTCTGTCTTCTTTCACTCCGCGTGTTTTTAAGGTTCATACATATCTTAGTATGTATTTTATTTCGAATGTTTTACATTCCTTTTTATGACTGAGTAACATTCTACTGTATGGATATATGACATTTTGCTTATCCATTCATCTGTTGACAGACATATGAATTGTTCTGTCTTTTGGCTATTATGAATAGTATTGCTACAAGCATTCACATACAAGGATTTGTTTGAGCACCTGCGTTTGATTCTTTGGAATGTATAGCTGTGGTTCTTTGTAAGGAATCTTGGATGATAGTCTTGTCATCCAGTTGGTCAAATGATCAGGGATTAGATCATGATTCTTTATATTTTCAGGGTTTTTTGGGGGTGGGAGGAAGGGATAGACTCTGAAACTTTTATAACTAACTCATTTTATTAAACTTTTACAGTTATTTTTTTCTCTTGTATATAAAACTAACTTCTAAAGTGAAGTATATATTAATACAAGTCAAAATGGTGGAATATATCTGGCAGAGGTAAATAAGTTACGTAGTTGGGCTCTGAAATTTTTCTATCCTTTTATTATATGTATCTTTTGGACCTAGAATTGGTGAAATTAATCTTAAGAGATGGAACCATATTAAGTCCTGGTAATTTAAGTTCATTGTATACATGGCTTGAAGGTTCATATTTGAATATAAGTTGGAGTAAATACTTTGCATGTTGTTTTACAGTGCTGGCACATATTAGTTTCTAGATGCCAGCGCGTCTGTTAACAGTGCTTCTCAAGCTGCCTGTGGTACAAGACCACTTTTGTTTTTCCAATAAGTCATAGACTAATAATTTTTTTTTTTTTTTTTGAGACGGAGTCTTGCTTTGTCACCCAGGCTGGAGTGCAGTGGTACGATCTCGGCTCACTGGAAGCTCCACCTCCCGAGTTCACGCCATTCTCTTGCCTCAGCCTCTCGAGTAGGTGGGACTGCAGGCACCCGCCGCCAGGCCCGGCTAATTTTTTTGTATTTTTAGTAGAGATGGGGTTTCACCGTGTTAGCCAGAATGGTCTGGATCTCCTGACCTCGTCTGGATCCACCCGCCTCGGCCTCCCAAAGTGCTGGGATTACAGGCGTGAGCCACCGTGCCCGGCCAACTAATACTTTTATAAAATGAAATACTAATCACTAGAAATAAAGAAATGAGAAAAGCCCCTGACCCTGAAATACAACCCAGAATTTTTTTGTTTTGTTTTGTTTTTTTGTTTTGTTTTTTTTGAGACAGGGTCTTGCTGTTATCACCCAAGCTGGAATGCAGTGGCACCATCATAGTTCACTGTAGCCTGGACCTCATGGGCTCAAGGGATCCTCCCACCTCAGCCTCCTGAGTAGCTGGGACTGCAGCCCTGTACACCATGCCTAGCTAATTTTTTTTAATTATTTTTCATAGAGACAGGGTCTTAACTATGTTGCCCAGGTTGGTCTTGGACTCCTGGCCCCAGGTTATCCACCTACTTCAGCCTCTCAAAGTGCTGGGATTACAGGCATGAGCCATGGTGCCCAACTCCCAAATTTTTTTTTACTATATTCAGTGACATGAAATTACTGTCAAATAATGTACTTTTGCCTATTGTTTTCATTATTGTATTATTAATATACTTACAGTAACATAGTAGTGCTTTTATAGCCTTGTAAAATCCCATAGACAACACTGCCTTACTGTGTGATATTTTAATTGGAATTATCTTTTGGAAGATAAAAGTAAGAGTTGGCCATCATTTCCAAACACCATGAAAATATGAGTTGAAGAATCTACTTCTGACCAGTGCTTAATAAATGGGAACCATTTCCCTATTTGGAATCTTTTTTATATTGTTATTAAATTAGATCTTTTTTTTTTAGTCTAATTCAATGTACAGTTGAAGTACAGATTATTATGTCTCTCAACATTGGGCCCACTTCACCTAGAAAGCATTCCAGAAGTCCAGGATATATAATAATTTGGTGTGCTGCTGTGTGTGTGTGCATTGTATATATATTTGTGCTTACGGTATTCTCCCGTCTTTTCTCCCAAATCTGCTTTTTTTTTTTTTTTTTTTAAGGAAAAAAGCTAAGCACAAATTTAAAATGTTTAGATGAGAAGCTCTAATAACTTGAGGATATTGTCAGTAGGCACAGAAATACCATCCCTAAAAGTCAAAGGTAAAGGGATAGCAATAAGAAATATAAAAATAGTAAATAAACTGTAATAAAAAATAGGTTTGGCCATGTGCAGTGGCTCACAACTGTAATCCTAAAGCTTTAGGAGGCCAAGGCGGGTGGATCACTGGAGACCAGGAGTTTGAGACCAGCCTGACCAACATGGTGAAACCCTGTCTCTACAAAAAATATAAAAATTAGCTGGGTATGGTGGCGCATGTCTGTAGTCCCAGCTACCGGAGAGGCTGAAGTGGGAGAATCACCTGAGCCCAGGAACCGAAACTGCAGTGAGCCATGATCCCGCCACTGCACTCCAACCTGGACAACAGAATGAAACCCTGTGTCAAAAAAAAAAATACAATAATAATAAAATAAAAATCAGAAAGATTAATCCATTTATAAATGCTGTGCATCAATTCAACTTTGTGAATATTAATTTTTAAAGACTTAAAAACAACAAAAAAAAGACTTAAAAACAAGAATTTGTGTGTCTTATTACCCTTGATACAACACTCAGATTTTCATTACTAGGTTATTTTGTAAATTGGGGATTAGTAAGGATGGTCTAACCCTGAAATTTTTATTCAACTTCATAAAGATAATTTAATTGCTTCTTGGCATTTTGGCTAAGATCAAGTGCGAAGATAATTTAAGCCATGGAAGAGAATCCATTGCATTCAAACTGATGAGAAAACTATAAACATGATACGTATTGAGATATATGTATATGTGTATATTTAGTTACATAGTGAGCATACAGCTTTGCACGGTTGTTTTTAGAGAATACTCATTAATAAAGCTGGAATTATCTGTACATAATTTTGCAGTAATACTATGATTCTGAAAAGCATTTGTTTTTATGTAACTTTGATTGTAAGTTTAGGGTCTGTGCAGGTTGTTATATAGGTAAATTTGTATAATGGGGGTGTGTGGTACAGACTCTTTCATCACCCAGGTATTAAGCCTAGTACCCTGAAAAAAGGTTTTCTTAACCATCCATTTGAGAAGACCAGAATAATGAGTAATTGAGGAGAAACTAAGGGAGGTGAAAGGCAGGTGGCTAGAGCTGGTTTGATAATTACATGGTAATCAACTCTACTTCACAAATAAAATGAGAACTAAAAGCAAAATAAATGGTCAGGCACTGAAACAAGGACAGGGCAACTGCCTTTGACAGGGAAATGTATCATCTCTGAAGACCTCCCAGCAACCATACTGCCTGCCATCAAGGCTGCTAGAGAGGCCTCGTGCAGTGGCTTACACCTGTAATCCCAGCCCTTTAGGAGGCTGAAGCAGGCAGATCTCTTGAGCCCAGGAGTTTGAGACCAACCTGGGCAACATGGTGAAACCCCGTATCTACAAAAAACACAAAAATTAGCAGGGCATGGTGGTGGTGTGTGCCTGTAGTTCCAGCCACTCAGGAGGCTGAGGTGGGAGGATCACCTGAGCCTGGGAGGTCCAGGCTGCAGTGAGTCCTGATTGCACCACTGCACTCCAGCCTGGATGACAGACAGAGTGAGACCCTCGGGTGGGGTGGTGGGATCCCGGGGAGGCTGCTAGAGAGACTAAGTTGAGATGTCACCTTGGAATAATAATATTTTCCATTTATATGATTTCCTACCAGTTTCAAAGTACTTTTATCTATTGTTTTCATTTGCTACCCTGGATAAGATAATTTTTTGAAACAAATTATCACACTCTTATTGGCTTAGAACAACATAAATTTATTCTTTTACAGTCCTAGAGGTCAGAAACCTAAAATGAGTTCACAGCCTCGCACCTTCTGGAGGGTTTAGAGGAAAGTCTGTT